TATGTGCGTGCGCATGTGTGTGTGTGTGTGTGTGTGTGTGTGTGTGTGTGTGTGTGTGTGTGTGTGTGTGTGTGTGTGTTTGTTATTAATAGGAAATATAACAGACGCCGGGCATAGTAGGAGTGCACGGTATGCACGGGGTTTACTGTAATTTTACTAGGTTTTCATCGACTTTCTATCGAGATCGCTATAACAAAATGTAATATAATTGTGTAGTTTCATGTAAAATCAGGAGTATATAAGTCTAGCGTAGGAGAGTATGACCCACCGAAAGAGAACAAGGAGAATTTCAATTACTAGCCCTGGTCCGCCATGATTTATTACGCGTAACTCAATAAACATGAAACCAAATGTTACCCTAAACATTCAACCATCGTCTCGTATTTAATCGTCTTGTCCATACTTAGTCACAATCCAGACAGATAGACAACCTATATAGATAGCCTCGGCATTAATTATCTATTGCATGCATTGCAATTAACAATAATCGTCATTAAATCAACAACCCAACTACAGTGACATTCTTTCTATGATGAGGCAAAAATTATTATGACGTTCGGCAGATGATTTGATAATTCTGATAGTTGGGATGTGTGCTTGTGGGATGCTTGAGTCAGCAGAAAGTTTGAAGCCATTGACCATGAGATGCCATGTATGATATGATGACTATGGTATTAGAAGAACGATAATGGCGGTTTCATATTTTAAATAACACGTTGTAGGTAACACTGTATGACAACTAATATAAGGAATCATGAGGAATATATGAGATAATAGCGGATAATAGGATAATATGATATATCAATCATCTTATTTCTAATCATATGACTGTAGCGCTGTTCGTATCCTAAGCTTCTCGTCTAATCAGCGAGCATGACAACATGTGTCTGATGTAGCGAGCGCATCGGGGGTGACCGCTGTATGCAGTGATGTAGCGATCGCATCGTGGGTGACCGCTGTATGCAGTGGAAGCCTGCTCGACGGATGCAAAATCAGTGTGCGTTGTTCGCGTTTAACACGAGATCGCTAAGTACGGGTGTTGTAATGCAGCATAGCTCGGTGGTGGAATTTTACATGACCGCTATGAACAGGTTCGTTCGAGATATCTGACCGCTGATACTATATATATATATATATAGTAATTACGTGTCATGCAGCGAAGCATTGAAAGTGCACGGTGTTGCAATATATACTAGTGCGCGCATGTGTATCATG